CCAAATGCAGTGCAGTCCTTTCTTTAGGCTTTTCAGAGATGAAAGACAGGTGTACGAAAATGTGAATCATCCTTACTATCTTGAGGGAAACAGTGTATACTTCAAGTGTGGGGTGGAGAGAAAGTCTTAGGACAAAAGGCACAAAGAACTGAGATTATATACACGAGAAAAGGAAAGCCAAGAGGTCATTTCATGAGATTTTAAGTGAAGGGCAAGCCAGGAGTTAGACTGTAGATTTCCTAAAAATGGTTTAAAGGCAATCCTTTTTGAAAAAATGCCTTATTCAAATACAAGTGATACTCGGGACTTAATTATTATTATTTTCTGGCAATTGCCGAAGCAATATGTGTTTATTATAGAAAAATTTGCAAACCACTAAAAACAAGAACAAAGTAAATAAATAGCACTTGTAATTTTAATACCCAGGGGGATTCTGTCAACATTTCAGCTCTGTCCGTGTACCCGCCTGACCCTTTATCCATCCATTTTTTTCCTTTTTGTAAATAGAACCGAAATTAAATAGTATGTTGTTGTGTGAACTGCTATGTTTTGCACAGGACCTGGAATGGAGACTAATCTTAGAGTGAGAGATTTAGGTTAGCTTTGTGTAGAAAGAGGAAAATGTCCGATGTGCTTTGTCAATGAGTTATTGAGGGAGAGTGCAATATTTTCTTTTCTGGAAGTCTTAAAATATAATAGGATAAACTCTCGTCTGGATGATGGCAAGGGCATGCCCCTGCTTTACTGCCCTGTTATTCTCTGATATGTGGACAAACCCTGAGAGTGCTTTTCGGAGGACTTACTTCTCCCCAAAGTGGTAGAAAGAAATATTGGTTAGAATATGATGTGAGAAGGACTTTTATTGATCCCTCACCTACACTTGCCTTGAGGACTAAAGAGCGCCTCTCTCCCAAGAGTGTGAGGCTGTTCAACTTTTCATTTTTAAATATTAAAATCACTGTAAAATTCCACTCTGACTAATCCAGAATAAAGATGGAAAAGATTAGTGTCACTAGGATAGAGTTTTACATGAGCAAATCATTTTAAATAGGTTTAAATCTAAGAGGTAGAAGCTGCTTAGACTAAAGCTATTTATGCCAGAGTGGATGGCATAACTCTGTGTGTGTGTGTGTGTGTGTGAGAGAGTGTGTGTGTGTGTGGTGTGTGTGAGGGAGAGAGAGGGAGAGGGGGGGAGAGAGGGAGAGAGAGGGAGAGAGGAAGGCAGGAAGGAAAGAGGAGCTCTGAAGGTTTCCTTATGTGTATGATCTGAATTTAGAGGCCACCCCTATTCGAGAAGGGGTCTAATTAGGAGCTTTTAATAACCATTTTTTACCCAAATCACACAGTTCTGTATTTCTTCGTTTTTTTTTTGTTTCAGTGTGTGTGTTCACATATCAGGGCATATATACATGTAAATACACACATACATGTAAATGTATATATAGGTAACTTGATTGCCATTTCCTTTCTATCGAAATGTAAGAAGGCTGGGAAAATATTTTCTTTATTGAATATTTTTGATCACAAAGAAATGAATTCATTCATTTAACAAATGCTGCAGACATTGAATGTAAGCACTATGCTAAAAAAGGGGGATAGGAGATGTCAAGCATATGGAGGGGCAGTGAGCCTTTTAGCCAGTGGTGCACATGTAACTGTTAACCTGTGCCTGACACCTGCTGTCCTCGGGATAAAATCTGAACTGCTCAGCCTGACGCCATTTGCAATCTGGTCTCTATCTATCCTTTCAACCCCATTTCCTCACATCTCTCACACCCATCTTATGTTCCAGTCATTCCTATGGGAGGAATTTATCAAGCCTCTTAGTATGTACTGGACATTTTCAGATACATGTAACTTCTGGATCATTAGACATTTTTCCGTTTCTTCACGTCTGTTTGCCTGGGTCCTTGTGATTTTCCTGAGTTGGAACCCTTTGCCTCCATTTGCCGACACTCTCCATTTGTCTATTTGTCTTTTCTACTCATCGGTGAGATGCTGGGGCACAGAGACCATCTCTTTTGTGGGCCTCTAGCACTTAGTCTGGTGCTTTGCATAATAGTAGCCATGCAGTCCGTGCTTTGAACAAATGAATGAATGAGGCAGAGTTAACTGTAATCCAAACTTACGGTGGTGATGAACTCCCTCAGCTTTTGTTTATGTCAGAAAGTCCAAATTTCTCTCATTTTTGAAGGACAGGTTTGCCAGATGTAAAATTCTTGATTTGTAGTTTTTTTTCCTTTCAGCATTTTGAATATATCATTTTATTCCCTTCTGGCTTCCAAACTTTATGCTGAGAAATACACTGAAAATTTTGTAATAGCTCCCTTTTATTTGATGAGTTGCTTTCCTTTTAATGTTTGCAAGATACTCTTTTTGTGACTTTTTTTTTTTTTTTGAGACAATCTCATTATGTCACCCTTGGTAGAGTGCTGTGGCATTACAGCTCACAGCAACCCCAAACTCTTAGGCTTAAGCGATTCTCTTGCCTCAGCCTCCAAGTAGCTGGGACTATAGGCGCCTGCCACAACACCTGGTTATTTTTTTGTTGCAGTTGTTTAACTGGCCCGGGGTCTGGTCCAAATCTGCCAACCTTTGTGTATTTGGCTGGTGCCATAACCACTGTGCTACAGGTGCCAAGCTTCTCTTCCTGACTTTTAACAGTTTGATTATAATGTGTCTTGGTATGAGTCTCATTGGATTTACTTAGTTGAAGTTCATTGAGCTTCTTAAATTTGTATGCCCATTTCCTTCCACAAATTTGGGAAGTTTTCAGCCATTATTCTTCAAATAGGCATTCTGCCTCTTTCTTGTTCCTTTTTCTTTCTGAGACTCCCGTAATGTGTATTCTAATTTGCTTGATGAATTCCCACAAGTGCCTCAGGCTCTCTTCATTTTTTAAATTCTTTTTTTCTTTTTGGTCCTCTGACTTCATAATTTCAAATCACCTATCTTCAAGGTTATTTGCCGATTTTTTCCTCTGCTTAATCAAGTCTGCTGTTGAACCATTCTAGTGAATTTTTCCAATTCATTTATTGTGTTCTTCAGCTCTTAAATTTTTATTTGGTTTTCTTTTTCTATAGTTTCTCTTTGTTAATATTTTCATTTTAGTCTTGTATCATTTTCCTAATTTCATTTAGTTGTCTGTTTGCATTCTCTTTTAATTCATTGAGCTTTTTTTTTTTTTTTTTTTTTTTTGAGATAACGGCTCATTATGTCCCTCTTAGTAGAGTGTTGTGGTGTCACAGATCACAGCAACCTCAAACTCTTCGGCTTAAGGGATTCTCTTGCCTCAGCCACCCTAATAGCTGGGACAACAGGTGCCTGCCACAAGGCCTGGCTATTTTTGTTGGTGGTGGTGTTGGAGTAGTCCTCATTGGAAGGCCCTGGCCATGTTCAAACCTGCCAGCCCTGTGTATGTGGCCGGTGCTCTAGCCGCTGAGCTACAGCCACTGAGCCTCATTGAGCATTTTTAAGATGGTTATTTCAAATTCTTTGTAAGGTAATTAATTTTTAATCTCTGTTTTTTTTTTTTTTTTTTTTTTTTGGCCGGGGCTGGGTTTGAACCCGCCACCTCTGGCATATGGGGCTGGTGCCCTACTCTTTTGAGCCACAGGAGCTGCCCTAATCTCTGTTTCTTTAGGGTTGGTTTCTAGAGATTTATTTTGCTTCTTTGACCGAGCCATGGTCCCTTGTTTCTGTGTATGCCTTGTGATCTTTTGTTGTGGTTTTAGCATATGAAAAACAGTCACTTTTCTTAGTGTTTGTTGACTGTTTTTGTATAGGGGAAGACCTTCACCAATCATGCCAGCTAGAGGCTTTGGGGGCCTTAAACTTTTTTCAGAGGTGCGTTTTCTCTGGTCTTCTACTTTTCCATTTAAAGATCTGCCTCTATTCTCAAGAGCTCATAATCTCTTGTTCCCTTTGGTGTCAGTCTGAGTTACTTCAGACTCTTTTAGTGCTGTATCAAGGTGCTATGCTTGCTTTTGAAAGTATGCTGCCATTTCCTTCAGCACACTGAGTCATACCATTGGGCAGACCCTGAGAAAGCGAGAATGTTGGATGTACATTTACCTCTTCTCTATGCCTCCTGAGAGAAGCCAGGAGTTAGGAAGTTTTCCCAGTTGTGCTGCCCTGTGCTGAATGGGAAGGAGCTATTGTGGGCAAAGCAATGAACTTTCTTACCTGCTTTGATGCAGCTCTTCTGGGCTTTGCGCTTGCCTAGGGCTCTGCCATCTCTCAATTTGTTTCTGGTATTCTCATGAAGGATATTTGGTTCATATATTCAATGTCGGGTCATTGTCTTTATAGGGAAATGAGGGTTTGGGGCTTCCTATTCAGCCGTCTTATTGATCTCACTCTCAAGTGTAATCCAAACCTCTATAGTATGAAATGGAGATAATTAATATTGATATAACTTTGATAATTAAAATTGGTAGAGATGGTGGCACATCTGTTCTCTCTCACTCCCTTCTCCAATTAAGGATTAAAGAAGTCATTGCAGGTTTCTGGCTTTCCAGTCTTATCTCGGTCTTTCTCTTTAGTATTATAGTAGTGTCTAGCAATTGATAAGTGCTTATGTGTCATGAACTCATCATATTCTTGTACATGTTGACTCATACACGTGTCACAATAGTTGTAAAAGGAAGGTACTGTGATTATTCGCATTTAACATGTGGGAAATAATAGATTGAAACTGAGTGTACAGACAGTCTAAATAGTTTACCCAAGGTCATTCTGCCTGAAATTAGCTCAATTTTAAAAGGCATTTTGCAGAATTAAATGAATATTCTTTAATTTGTGTAGGACACAAATATGTATATGTTTAGAATATATATGCTAGAAGATTGCTTTTGTCAGTCATTTACCAGTCAGTTATTGATTTATTAATTATATTATTTTGTGTTGATTGTAAGTGGTAATTATGCTGGTGGAAATGTCTGTAGTTTACATATCCAGGTATGGAAGTCATTAAAGTTGTGTTTCTTGTTTTTTTGCAGGACAGAGTTCATTCAAAGAGGCAGGATTTCAATCACAGGAGCTGGATTCCTCAACTACATTTTGGAAACTTTTGCTAGTACCTTCTTAAGACAGGGTGCCCAGAAGGTAAACTGTTTCTGTTTTGAACCAACATTAATTTTAAGAAGGAATAAGAGTTCTAGCAGGATTATTGAGTAACGCTCATGCATGGATATGACAAGAAAAAATATAGTTAATATATAAATATAGGCAAACATAATTACCCTTAATAATTATTATATAAATCCAGATCAAAATAAAACTACAGTGCCATTTATGGCTCATTAAATTAAAAATATGCCAGTGAAGAGTATATGAAAATATAAAGTATACTTACAGTCTTATAAGAGAAATAATAGAATGAATGATTATAATACCAATGAGTATAATGACCACTATTTGATGAAAAAGATAATAATAGCTAATATTTATTGAGTGCTTACTATGTGCTACTGACTGGTAAAAGAATTTTTATTTATTATCTCATTTAATCCTCAGAAACCTTTGAAATATGTTACTGTTGTCTTGATATTATAGATGAGGAAAATACAGAGATCCCAATTGTCTATTCTTGTATTTTTCAAACTCTATCCTCCAGGGAACTTAGGCTAAAGTTATTCAGAGGCTTTGTTGGAGTTCTAAGGTCCTGTGTACCCTGCTTTAAGTAGATCTGTTCCATTTTTAATCTGTCTTCTGTGTATTACACATAATATTTATATATCCTATTTTCATGCCTTAATAGCATTATTTTTAAAGCTTCTTAGCTGGGTATGGTGGCCTGTGCCTATAATCTCAGCTACTTGGGAAGCTGAAGCAGGAAGATTGCTTGGGCCCAAGAGTTCAAGTTCAGCCATCCTGGGCAACACAGGGAGATTCTGTCTAAAAAAAAATTAAGTAAGGCGGTGCCTATGGCTCAGAGGATAGGGCGGTGCCCCCATATACTGAGGGTGGCGGATGCAAACCTGGCCCCGGCCAAACTGCAACAACCAAAAAATAGCCAGGCATTGTGGAGGGCATCTGTAGTTCCAGCTACTCGGGAGGCTGAGACAAGAGAATCACCTAAGCCCAGGAGTTGGAGGTTGCTGTGAGCTGTGTGACGCCATGGCACTCTACCAAGGGCAATAAGTGAGACTCTGTCTCTACCAAAAAAAAAAAAAAAGAAAGAAAATTAAATAAAACCTCTTTAGGGCCAAACCCATTCCTCATTTATTCTTTCTATGCCCATTGCAGTGCTGAATATAGGACATTGCTCCAAAGTGTTTTGTTATTATTATTAATTGTGATGATAATCAGATTTGCTTATTTCTAGAATTTAGCCAGGATTATATACATATAATCTGATTTTGTTTTGTGGGATGGACTTAATGCCTGGTTTAAAGAGATTTCTGGGTAAGGAATCTTTGTTTTCATTTTTGCAAGTTTAGGTTTAAGAATGCACCTGGACCAGGAAGTGTTAGTCTGGGAGACTGAGGGTGATGAATGAATATTCAGTACTGTTCTATATGCCGTAGACATACTGTTGAGATTGGTGATAGGTTCTTGGCCCAGTTGAGGTGGTTCCTAGCATATATTCAGACTGGTTTGTCCTATTTAAACCTGGGCTTGAAGGAGCGTAGTTGAACTTCTAGAAAGTCTGATGTCACCTTTAACCCACTCAGACATTATTGCAAGTTTTTCTGCTGTATTATAATATTTACATTTGTAAAAACCCCAATGTTCTGTAAAGTTGCATTCTAAAACTAGTGGAGCTAATGAACAAAATAATTTCATTGCCATGGTCCTGACTAAGTTGACTTCATATACATCCTTTAAATACTGTATCACAAAATGATGGAGTATAGTTTTCTGGTAATGCAACGATATTAATCGGAAGAATGAATTTTTTTTTTTGGATAAAATTTAGCTGAATTTGGGTTCAAAAGTAGTATTTCCTATCATCAAATTGATTGAAAACATTCATTTATTAAAATCATTCTTCTCTTATGGACCACATAAAAGCAGGTAGTGAGGGCAGTGCCTGTAGCTCAGTGGATAGGGTGTCAGGCTGGTGGGTTCAAACCCAGGCTGGGCCAGTGGCAACAAAAAAAATAGCCGGGCATTGTGGCGGGTGCCTGTAGTCCCAGCTATTTGGGAGGCTGAGGCAGGAAAATCACTTAAGCCCAAGAGTTAAAGGTTGCTGTGAGCTGTGATGCTACAGCACTCTACCAAGGGTGACAGCTTGAGACTGTGTCTCAAAAAAAAAAAAAAGCAGGTAGTGACCTGGATTTGTCCTAAGGACTATAATTTGCCAACCCCTGTTTTAGATAAATATTGTTTGATTGACCTATCAATCTGAACCTATTAAAGACATTTAATTGTCCAGTGGTTATGTATGTTCTGATCCTGTTTGAGATACATAAAGTATATATTTTATCCCCATTTTATTAATGAGAAATGACTTGAAAAGATAAGTACACCCAGCATGTGGTACCTGCGTTCCTGCCTCCCTTCCTCTTACAGATGTATAGTGAGCACATGCTTTGCCACAGGGACTGTGCTAAGTATGGGCTAAATGGATTTATCTGAGGTCACAGAACCAGCAAAGGTAGAGTCGGGACTGGGATCTCCACCTCTCATCAATGAGACTCCACCACTTGCCACTTTACTGCGCAGCCCTCAGATAAATGAAGCGGAATCTTTGCTTACTCAGCACCATGAATTTCACAGATACTGTTGTGTATTAGATGAATTTGTGTGGAGCTCTTACTCCGCTTGTATAATATTTATTAGGGCTCTTTGGTTGCAAGTAACAGAAACCACTTTAGGCTAGCTGTCTGTAAGGATGCAAGGGTAGTGCGGCCGGCAGGCTTCAGAAAGGTCTGCCCTGGGAGCTGAAAGCTGCCAGGAACCCAGGTGGCTTTCCTTCAACTCTGTAAACTTGGTAATCTGTTTTATTCTTCGTTTCCCGGTGATCTGGTTTTCTCTGTGCCCCAGGATGTATAGTGGTCTGTGGGCTTCTGCTATCAAGGTGTACATGTTATATAGAATTCTGGCAACAAAAAGACCGTCTGCTTATTTCCTTTTTTACTTCATTCTTTGGAAAGGACTTTTGTTAGCCCTTCCGGGTCAAGCACCACCAGGAGGGCGTGAGTTAGGTTATACAAAAGTGGCTTATCCCCTCTCGTGGAGCAGGGTTGGCACTTCTCAGAAAAAGGTGTGGTGGGTGGGGTAAATCCTCCTAAAGGTTTCCAGCATGGTCCCATGGTCGCCATCGATGTTGCTTGATGGCAGAGTGGACGTGTTATTAGTGTCAATCCTGATTCCACCCCAACTCATAGTACCTTGGTCAGTGTTCAGTACATTTATGTAGAAATCAGTAGAAAGGAATAGAATGCACAGTGAGGTTCACAGTTGGTTTCTGATGAGTATTATCTATAATAGAAATAATTTGGCGACTTCAGTTTTTTAAAGTGATAAATGCCAAGTGATTCCTGTCACTTATGTATTATGCTCAGAAGTAAGAATATCTTTTTCCCAATAGCTTTTGCCTTTCTGACTTTTATTTTTTCTCTTTTGAAAAGCTCAGGATTAATTAACTTTTCAATTTTAGGAGCCCTTTATGCTTAAGTGTCTTTTACCTTTTATCTGAGTGGCTGTGTGTTCCGGTACCAGCCTGACTTCCCAGCAAGCCTTCACAGCTGAGCTGTACACGTGGCTTCTGTGAAGTCACCAGGAGTGTTTAGATGACTTGATTTTCACTTTATCCCTGAGTCTGTTCAGTAGTGGTAAGGTACGGATCTGATATCTGTGTTTTTCCCTAAGAAAAGCAAAACTAGGTGCTCACAAACTTACATTTCTGTATTTGTAAATTAAAAAATGGCTTTTGATAAGGATCCCTAGCCAAGGTCACGTGTGTTTCGGTGCCTTTGGGGTCTGTTCAGTTGCTTTTTTCTCCTTCCTCCATTACTCCGAGAGCTTGCAGTTTGAGGGCCTTTCTGACTCAAATGTGGACTTTCCACACACCAATCTGACCCCACTTTCTTAGTGGAAGTCAGGAGAATGGGCATTTCCCGTTGGTGGTCCACCCAACAGAGGTGTCCTTGAAACAGAAGCAGTTCTGCACTGACGGCCTGCTCAGCTCTCTCTCCTCGCCTTTGTAACCTAGTACAGGTCACTTTGCTCCTTTGATCCTAACTTTATTTGTCTGCAAAATGAGAATTTTAATGTGTTCTCACAGATTTGTGTGAAAACTTTGAAAGCTTTCTGTAAATTGAAGAACACAGGTCAAATATACAAAACGTATTCTCTTTATTTTTAAGAATTAAAAAGAAATCAGAATCATAATCACATCTTTCTTGAACACGTTTTCTTTTATGGTTATATATACATTTTTAAACCTAGTTGTTCAACTGCACTAGTGCTTTTTGGGTGTCATCTATGTGCCAGGCGTTGAGGAGGCTGCCTGGAGACACAGTAAGAATAAGACATAATTCATAGGATAGAGGCTGTCTGAGGCACCTTTACTTCTGGGACATCTGGCTCAGGGCAGGAAGCGTGGCCAACAATGAATAAACATCTGCTGAAGCTGAGAATTTATTGAGCCTGCTTGGCGTTTAGTGCCAGCACCATGATCAGTGCTGAGAAGGATATTAAAATAACAACTAGCGCTTACAAGAGCTGAGTAGATGTCCAGCACTGTGCTTGGCATGCATTGCTTCATCTGCTTTTCTGAACAATGCAGCGAGGCAGGAATTATTATTGCCATTTGACACATAGGGAAACTGTGTTCCCAGGTAGCAAAGCAGTTTCTTCAAGGCTGCAGAATTCATAAGTTTTGAACCCAAGCTTGTCTGACTCCAGAGTGCTCTTCATCACTGCATCACAGTGCTGCATCCGTGTTCTCTGCACTTCGGCTGCCTGCATGGGGCAAGTTGTATGTGCTTGATTGAACCAGAGTGGGACACTGCGGTGTGCAAGAACAGGAACTCAGTCACAGTGGAAGAACTTGGAATAGGCCAGTGGAATGGGAGCCATGCTACATGAAAGCGCCTTTGAGTGGCTGGTGAATGTCCACCCTTTGGTTCAGAGTCCCCACTCCTGTCATCCAG